AATCCTTCCACCTCAGCCTTCCAAGTAGCTAGAACTACAGGCACGAGCTACCAAGTCCAGCTAATTTCTTTTTTTAAATTTATCACAGAGACAAGGGCTCGCCAAGTTGCTCAGGCTGGTCTCGAACCCGCAGGCTCAGGCAATCCATTTGCCCCAGCCTCCCAAAGTGCTGGGATTACAGGCTGAGCCACTGAGCCCTGCCAGGAAGCAATTAACTACAGAAAAAAGTTAAATGAGGTATACTCATAAGGTATGCTTTTTGACTCAGCAGAGATATATGATAACATTAAAAATGGACTACTTTAACCACAAATTCAGATATAACTATACTGAGGAGCAGGGGATGTATGTGTACGTGTTGGGGATGTGGGGCTAGGAGCGTTGGTATAAAATCGCTGAATCCTCAATAACTATAAGAAGAAATCAATAGATACTATGTAAAATAATAGATCAATTAAAAAAATAAGCAAAATGAAGGCAAATAGCAAAAGAAACAGCTAAATGGGTTCAAAGAGTCTGCTTCCAGGGAGTGGAAACAGGACAGTGAAGGTTAAGGCAAGGGCTGCCTGTTTCCAAATGAGCCTTTTAGTGACGTATGCAACTGTGTGCATGCATTACTTTGATTAAAAGTACAATCAATTTTAAATAACAGAAGTGTAAATGTTTATGCAAGAATGCTCAGGTGAGAATGTGAAAACACATCTGTATCCTCTCAGTGTATTTAAAAACACTGAAAGCATACATCTAGGCAAAGACGAATAAGCAACAAAGTAAAAACCTCTCCTCCCCAAGTTGAAGATCCTGGAATTAGTGGAAACACGGAAGATATGAAGAGAAAGAAGGCAGGTAAGGCTGAGAGGGAAGGCAGGGCCAGCCAGGAACAAAATACCACACAGGATTTGAATTTGCACCTGTAGACAATAAGTCACTGAAGGATTCCCATTCCTCAGCCAACAACATTACCTAGTAATACGCAGATAACTGGCATTTGTATGCAGAAGTAATACGCAGATAACTGGCATTTGTATGAAGAAGTGGGGTGGTGCAGGTAGCTAATCCTGCAGAGATAATGTGGGCCTGAAAGGAACTGGCAGTATACAGGATAAGTGGCAGGTATGTCTAGAAAACAGCAACAAGACTTGGCAACGCATACAATTAGTACAATCTGATTTCTAGGCAAAGTGGAAGGTAGGTACTTCCTATTTCTTGTGACAGGACCACAAGTGTGTATAGTCATCCTTCCGTATCCGTGGGGGATTACTTCTAAGACCTTTATGGATACCAAAATCTGTAGATGCTCAAATAGACTATTTAATATCATTATTATTTGATATAAAATGGTGTAATATTAGCATATAACCTACACACATCTTTCAGTATACTTTAAATCATCTCTAGATTACTAATAATACCTAATACAAAGTAAATGCTATGTAAATAGTTATAATACTGTATTATATAGGGGGAAATGACAAAGAAAAAAAAGTCTGTAGTCTGTACATGTTCGGTACAGACCCGTATTTTTTTCCTGGGTATTTCTGATCTACAGTTGGCTAAAAACACGAATAAGGAACCTATTGACATGGAGGGTTGATTGTATTTGCTTTCTCCTCTGAGCAGGGGAAATAGGTTTGACTACAGAGGGATGAGGTTGAGGGGCATGGAGTGAAATAAGGAAACTGGCCAATCATCCTGGATCCTTCCTGGGAAGGGGTAATTCCAGATGGAGGGAGAGGCTCAAATGCCAGGGCTCAAAATCAGCTGCTCTGACTCAGCTCCACTAGGGCCTAAAACCAACCAAAGGTGAGGAGCCAGATCAAAGCTTCTAGGCTTCTGATTTGGAACAGGCAGATGGTACCATCTGAGAAACAGCCTATGGGAAGAAGGGCAGATTTTAGAGGGAGAAGTCATTTTGTTAAATTTTATATAAATTCACTCTGAGGTATCAATGGAATATTCAGGAGATATACCCAATGAGCAACTGAGAATAAAGATCTGGAACTCATGGGAATTCTAAAAATAAAGCTTTGAGAGTCAGAAGAATAAAGATTCTTTCATTAGCAGGTCTTTCCATCATTTCTATTTCAGAGTCTGTCCCAAACATTCCCTAATACACATGCAAATTAACAATAAAAATATTTATTAAAAAAATTGCACCAACTTCCCTACTGGTATGAAGAACTCAAAATAAAAAAAGATATGCAAATTTTTCTTCCACAATTTCAGTGGACAAATCTTCCTACCACAATGCATTTTTAAATCTCTAAGTTAAAAACAAACAAACAGCCAGGCTCGGTGGCTCAGCCTGTAGTCCCAGCACTTTGGGAGGCTGAGGTGAGTGGATTGCCTGAGCCCACGGGTTCGAGACCCACCTGGGCAACTTGGCAAGACCTCATCTCTACAATAAAATAAAAAAATCAGCCGGGCATGGTAGCACGTGCCTGTAATTCTGGCTACTCGGAAGGCTGAGGTGGAAGGATCACCGGAGCCCAGCAGGTGGAGGCTGCAGTGGCTGGGAGCGGCCACTGCACTCCGGTCTGGGCAACAGAGTGAGATTCCAACTCAAAAAAAATAAAAAACAAACAAACAAACAAAAAAGTATCAAACAGAAAAAAACTAATAATCTCTGGGTCTATTTTCAAGAAATGGTTGCAGGATTAAGTACAGCTACATCTGTTTCCATCATTTTGTCAGACTCTGACTTGCCACAAAGCAAAGTTAATGAAATCCTACCAGTGATCCTTCTGGGTGATATGGCCCTTCAGGAGTCAATCTTCTGAAATCACAGAAAATATGTAACCTTCCTACTGAGTCGGAGAAAAGAAAGCTTTAGTAGGATGGAGCAGAAAAATGCAACAGAAAATCACCTGGTCCAATCCTCTCATTTTATGGATGAGGAAACTAAAACTCAGACTAGAAATTTATTGAATCAAAGCTCATTCCTGGGCCATCACTGTCCTGAAATCAATCGTCTCTTTTCTGCTCATTGAAAATCTCCTGGATGAAAATGTTTCCTGGAAACATTTCATCACTCTGGATATTTTTCCTGTGATAATGATGCTGCCCTTGAATGTATCACCATTTGTAAATGCCATTTCTCTGATACTTTTCATTGAAAGTGGGTTTTTGTATTCAAGCATACAATTTTATTAAGCCCTGGTCAAATAAATTTGCCTTTATAAAATGCCGCGCCGGGCTCGGTGGCTCAGCCTGTAATCCCGCGCCTTTGGGAGGCTGAGGTGAGT